GGTTGCGTCTAGACTACAGGATTCTGTCGACAGAAGGGGTTATTGCCTGTAGGGTTGCGTCTAGACTACAGGATTCTGTCGACAGAAGGGGTTATTGCCTGTAGGGTTGCGTCTAGACTACAGGATTCTGTCGACAGAAGGGGTTATTGCCTGTAGGGTTGCGTCTAGACTACAGGATTCTGTCGACAGAAGGGGTTATTGCCTGTAGGGTTGCGTCTAGACTACAGGGTTTTGTTGACAAAGCAGCTTGCTTTGTCGACAGAACTGAAAGTGTCTAGACCCTCTGGGTACATCTAGACTACCGGGTCTTGTCGACGGAAGTTTTGTCGACAGATACTGTTGACAAAACTTCTGTCGACAAAGAGCCTCCAGACACATTGAGTTCTGTCGACAAAGCAAGCTGCTTTGTCAACAAAACCCTGTAGTCTAGACACAACCCTACAGGCAATAACACCTTCTGTCGACAGAACTCTGTCAATAGAAGGTGTTATGCCTCGTAAAATGAGGTTTACCAGCGTCGACAAAACTGCTGAGTTCTGTTGATGTTATGTCGACAACTCAGCGGTAGTGTAGACGCAGGTATAGTTTTGTCGACAAAAGTCCACTTTTGTCGACAAAACTCAGTAGCCTAGACACACCCAAAGAGAGAGAAGCAACCAGCTTAACAATGAACGTGATTTATTTCTGGGCAGTGACTAGATCTCTCTAAATCGGCTCAGAGTGATTTGTGGGTAAGATCCGGAGTGTAAATTGATCTGGGGTTTGTGGCTGGTTTCTTGGGACCGGAAGAACCCATTCGGGGGGGGGGAGATGGGTTTTTTTAACCTCTCACCTGTGTGTTAGACCTGGGGCTTTTGGCCTGTCTTTTGGCCGTCCTGACACAGGGAGAGCCTGGCCTGTCAGACCTGTTCTGAGCAAGGTTACAGTTGTTTAGGGTTGTTCTGTCTGACATTTACTCTAGACATTCTTGCGCTATTTGGCGTGCCTGAGGGACGGGTGGGATGCAAAGAGATAAGGAGCCAGGAGGACGGAGTCTGCTTACCGGGAGCAAGAAACGCCGACCTCTTATGCCCGAGGACTGCAGAACCGATGACGCTAATGTGCCAAAGGACCTGACCTCGACCCAAGAGCCAAACGGAGATTTGCAAGACCCACAGACGTGCACAGAGGGACGGACCACTCTGCAAAGACTGGCGAGAACCGAGGGGCTTTGGGTCCATCGTGCCTCAACCGCGGAGAATCAGATGGCAACTCGCAGAACCCAACTCCCCCACCCGTGTTCAGTCCCTAGAACAGGGGTGGCCAACCCATTCAACGCAGAGAGCTGAAACAGCAGTGAAAAAAAACGTGAACAGCTGCACCAGAATTGTTGAGGGGAAAAAAAAGCGCTCCTTACCAGTGTTGAGCCAAAAAAAAAAAAAAAAAAGGACGCTGCCCCTTTAAAAACCACAGAAACAGCCCCCTCTGAAGATTTTTGTATTGTGTATTTTCAGTACACGCGTCGTATTGCCTCGTCCCCTGAAAAAGATCCCCGCCTGTTTCTTAGAAGCGTAAACTCTCTGCTCCCGGCTCCATCCCAGCGACGTGGCCTGAGAGGGACTCGGTTCGCACAGCCAAAGCAATGGCTGAAAAGCAGAGCAGCGTGGGGAGAATGGAATTTTCTGTGCCACGACACATCTCAGGAGAGTTCACAGAAGGGAAAACGTTGACCCAGCTATAGAAAAAAGGATCTGTTCAGACTGGCCTGCACTCAGCCGTTCTTAGGGAGAATCAACATCCAGGCAACTAGGGACCCTGAGAGCTTCTTTTTCTTCACGCGGTGCACAGTCAACCTGCGGAACTCCTTGCCACAGGATGTGGTGAAGGCTAGAACTTTAACAGGGTTCAAAAAAGAGCTGGCTAGATTCATGGAGGTTAGGTCCATCAATGGCTATTATGTCCCTCCTTCCTAGACAGTCGCTTCCCATTCTGTGAGACACGGATTGTTCCTTCCTCAGTGGAGCACTTTGCATTTGTCCTTATTCAACGTCATCCAATTGAGCTCCAACCATTTCTCCAGTGTGTCCAGATCAGTTTGAATAAGAACGTAAGAACGGCCGTACTGGGTCAGACCAAAGGGCCATCTAGCCCAGTATCCTGTCTGCCCACAGTGGCCAGCGCCAGGTGCCCCAGAGAGGGGGGACCGAAGACAATGATCAAGTGATTTGTCTCCTGCCATCCCTCTCCAGCCTCTGACAAACAGAGGCCAAGGACACCATTTTATCCCCTGGCTAATAGCCTTTTATGGACCTAACCTCCATGAAATTATCTAGCTTCTCTTTAAACTCTGTTCTAGTCCTACCCTTCACAGCCTCCTCTGGCGAGGAGTTCCACAGGTTGACTACACGAATTCTGCCCCTCTCTTCCTTCCATACACCCCAATGGGGTGCTTTGAAAGAGAAACCAGCATTGAGCATTATGTAGCAACACCCTCAAATGCAGTTCTTCAAGGCGTCACTAGAGAGCACACACTTACAGCAACTTGTGTGGAAAAGGCAGCGAGAAATACAGCCTCGGACGGGAAAACTCGCCGGCTGCCTTGCAGGCCTGGGAACTTTGGGAGGGTGGGGGCAGAGGTTGACCTCAGGGGCTGCTCCGTGTGGTTTAAAGTAAAAGGTTCGGAAATGTGGCTAGTCCCAGGAAGGCGCAGAAACAGGCAAACTATTACTAAATATCTTTGAAACTTTTATTAAAGGGCTTCTACGTATAAATTACGATTTTATCAATTTCTTCCACTAAATAATTATTAGAATGTCCAATAAGCAAAATGCAATACAGTGAAGAAAATTCTTTGAGGTTTCTCTAAATCCCAATAGTTGTTAACAAGGGACTAGGGATTATTAAAAGTTACATTTACATCAGTCTTACTTATAAGACTAATCATTTATCTAAAACTTTTAACACTACTTCTTAACAATACCTCTAAACAATTTCAGAGAACAATACTGACATTGAACAGACACACAAACTACCACAACAACATATTTGGTATTCGTTATGTTTGGGATACGTTACGCTCTACAGGAACTCGTTTGGTTCGGTGAGCGGGAGGTGGCCCTCGGGTGATCAGTCCTCGGACCTGGCTCATATTCTGCCATCCAATGTTTATTCGGGATTCCTCAGTTTGATACAGGAGGGGAAGCTGTTTTATAGAGAAAGCTTTTGTGCGTTTTTTGTGATAGGCTAGCAGACCCTGTCTGTTAAGTGACAGGAGGAAGGGGGTGAGATGGTTTCCTGTTTTTCCTTTTCTGCCTTATCGGGCATGGCACAGTCAGCACAACCAGCACGAACTTTACATGAACTTTTTGGGTCTGGTTTTGGTTCCTGTTCGTCACTGATCTTTAAGTTACATAGTGTAAGGGTTTTCATCAAGGGGAAGTTGACCTTTTGCTTGGATGGCAATACGCCTGGCCAGCAAAGAGCCTGCTTTCACTCTCCGTAGTGCCTGGTCTCACTTTTGGGCTCCATCAACTTTCCAACGGACACAGAGAGTGGCTGGTCTTCTCGGTGTCTGTTGCCCACGTCCCTACGGTCGCCTTGCTTGCTGCCGTATCTCCAGCAGGAGGCCTTGGAGTACAACGCATGGCTGTGGGTTTTTTTCATGTTAGAAGAGTTGGGCTTTTTTAGCTGTGTCTTATTCCAGAGACTATATCTCTGTATGAGCCCGCGCTGTGCACGACAAGTCCCCACTGAACCGCCTCCTCGGACAAGTCAAAACAATGCCCGTTCAGTGCTTATTCCGTCCGCCCCGCCTGAGTCTGTAACTTTAAAAACAACGAGCGGCCCTGTGGTACCTTAGAGACTGACCAACATAGACAGACAGAGGGAGTGTGGGAGATAGATAGATAGATAGATAGATAGATAGATAGATAGATAGATAGATAGATAGATAGATAGATAGATAGAGGGGGTGGGTGGGGATAGATAGATAGATAGATAGATAGATAGATAGATAGATAGATAGATAGATAGAGGGGGTGGGTGGGGATAGATAGATAGATAGATAGATAGATAGATAGATAGATAGATAGATAGATAGAGGGGGTGGGTGGGGATAGATAGATAGATAGATAGATAGATAGATAGATAGATAGATAGATAGATAGAGGGGGTGGGTGGGGATAGATAGATAGATAGATAGATAGATAGATAGATAGATAGATAGATAGATAGAGGGGGTGGGTGGGGATAGATAGATAGATAGATAGATAGATAGATAGATAGATAGATAGATAGATAGAGGGGGTGGGTGGGGATAGATAGATAGATAGATAGATAGATAGATAGATAGATAGATAGATAGATAGAGGGGGTGGGTGGGGATAGATAGATAGATAGATAGATAGATAGATAGATAGATAGATAGATAGATAGAGGGGGTGGGTGGGGATAGATAGATAGATAGATAGATAGATAGATAGATAGATAGATAGATAGATAGAGGGGGTGTGTGGGGATAGATAGATAGATGGTAGACTACAGCGTTTTGTCTACAAAAGTGGACTTTTATCAAGAAAACGATACCTGCGTCGACACTACTGCTGAGTTCTGTTGACATAATGTCGACAGAACTCGGCAGTTTTGTTGACGGCGGTAAACCTCATTCTTCGAGGAATAACGCCTTTTGTCGACAGAAGGCGTTATTGCATCTACGCTGTCCTTTGCGTCTACACTCTTATGTTGACAGAACTGGATGTAGTCTAGACGCGCTTTGTTGACAGAAGCTTTGTCGATAGTATCTGTTGACAAAACTTCTGTCAACAAAAGCCTGTCGTCTAGACGTACCCTAAGGCTACGTCTACATTACAAATGTTCTCAGCAAAAAAATACGCTCATGAGGGATTAATTTGCACGAGTCATGATTTCTTTTGCATTTTTTCTGCCGATCCGTTTTTGCGCAAGGTTTTTTTGAGCAAAAAGAAGCGTCACGGATGTTTTCTTTTGGCACAAAAAAACCCCCCTTTTTTCACAAGATCAGTAGACCTCCTTTTTAGGGGCATAAGGATGTTGTGAAAAAAGGGGGGAGATTTTTGCTCAAAAAGGAAACGTCCACACGGCTTGTTTTTGTACAACCCCCTCAGTGGAGAAAGGGATCGGCAGAAAAGATGCAAATGAGACCGTGACTCATGCAAATGAGTCCCTGATTGGCATATTTTTTTGCCGGGAAAACACGTAGACATAACCTTAGAGACGAACATCATCGTCTTCTTGGAACGTGTGGGTATGAGGGGACCGGGCAGGGACTAGGAGCAAACCCGACCTCAGCCGTGTGCCTCCCCGTCTCAGATGGGCATAGGCAATTGGTGCATCCCCCCTTCCAGATGGGACCTCCAGGAACCCCTACGCCGCGCCTGGCTCTGCCGTATCGAATTCCCACCCTCCAGCGCTCACTGGCCAAGCCTTCCCCACACACCCTTCCTTCTCCAGATCCGCAGTTGATTAAAGTTCACTTCCGTTCCCCCGAGCGCCAGGGCATGGCCTATATGGCGGTATGGATGTTGCGGGCAGCCCGTAGGGCGGATTTCATGGCGCTGTCGATCCAGATGTGAGGCTGAGCCATCAGATCCCCGGAAAAATGGATCCTCCCCTCGCTCCGGAACAGGATCTCGGAGAAGTCCATGTTTTGGTAGGGGGTGAGGGCGGCGTACGAGCCCATGGAGTATCTGTCCAGGCCCCATTTCTTGACCACGAACTTGCTGCAGACGTGGCGGAGGTAATCTTGGGGCAGCTGGTGGATGGCGGCCAGGTCCCGCATCACAACGTCCACGCACTTCTCGTCGCTCAGGGGAAGGAAAAATTCGGCATCATTGTCCCACGTGTAGGAAGCCAGGACCACCCCCAGGCCGGTGGGGAAACCATGGCTGGGGTAGTAGATGAATCTGGAAGGGCGGTTGGTGATGGATCTCCCTCCGTGAATCCCGTCCTTCTCCCAAAACTTCTCCTTGCAGGCCAAGGCGATCTTCACGTCTTGCGCGTAGTGAATTGCGCTCAGGGCTCGGCTCTTCGGAGCGGAAAGAGGCGGAGAAAACTCAATCAGCCGGGCGGCTTTCGCTGTGACCGTCACCAGGACGTAGTCGGCCGTCACGGAGGATGGGGCCGATGCATTTCCCCGCAGGTAAAACACCGTTACTTGGTCCCCCCGGGTGTGTATCTTCACAACGGTGGAGAGAAATTCAACATCCCCATGGAGGTGCTGGTAGAAGGCGTTGGAGAGCCGGTCGAACCCTCCTGTGATCTCGTCGTAGCTGAAAGAAAAAGATGACGGCACGCGAATGACGTCCCCTGGCCACTTAGCGGCATGAAGTTCACAAGAAGCAGAATTTCAAGAAGAGCAAGAAGGTGCTGCAATGCGAGCTGAGGGAGGGGGTCTGGGCAGGCGGCGGGTGGA